ATTTTCCTCCATACCCAAATCTCTAAAAAAAGGGGCTGCAACGGATCTGATAAAAACTGATCCAGATTTGAACACTGTCCTGACGTCAGGACAGTGGCGCTACGGCTATTGGGCCAACTCCACCAATCAGGAGGAGACAACCACGGCATTGCCGTTCGAAAGCGCTGGAGACGTTGTAGTACATATGCCAGGCCAGTAGATGGTGCTGTTGCTCACAGAATCAACCCTTGCTAAAACAGTTCTAAAAAATGTCAAATTGAGCAAAATGAGGCATGGCTAAAATGCATGATCTGTTTGGTATTTTGAAAAAAAAAAAGTATAAATATGCCTTATATAGGTATGGTCCTACACTATATTATTCAAATATAGCATGATAGGTCCACTTTAAGGTAAACTTCAGTGAGCGGAAGTAGAGATGATAATCACATTCCTTTCAGAATAAGAGCATCCTGTGGAGCAGCTCAGTGCTGGAAGGACCTCTAGTGGACAGACAGAGAACAGCAGCTGTCCTCTTTAAACACAGATAACATATCTGCTCCTCCAATCAGGAGAGGAATCTTCTCTTTAAGAAACATTTAGTATTTTTTTATCAAGATTTATAATGTTTCACATCCAAAAAGCAAACACAGCAAAGACAAGATTTAAAATAATATTTACAAACAATCAATTTAATTCAGTTTGATAAGAAATCTCTCTCTCTCTCTCTCTCTCTCTCTCTCTCTCTCTCTCTCTCTCTCTCTCTCTCTCTCTCTCTCTCTCTCTCTCTCTCTCTTTCTCACACACACACACACACACACACACACACACACACACACTCACACACACACACACACACACACACACACACACACAGCCTGGTACTACAGTAAACAATAAGACAGTAGCTCTCTGTCTTCAGACTGCTGCTGGACTCCGGCTGAGCAACGCACCGAGAGACAGGATATACAGAAAATACAGAATAAACTGAAAATACAGAATATATAGGTTTTATCAGGACTTAAAGGAACTATCAGGTTCTCCAGGTTCTCCAGGTTCTCCGGGACGATGGACCCGCAGCGTCTGTCCTCCGTCTCCCAGCAGCAGGTCCGTCTCAGGATAAAGGTACGACCGATCGGATGAGAACATATTACAGAAATCACTTTTAAAATCCCTCAAGAGGTCAGACTCATGACTGAGTACACAACTAGTACACAACTAATACACAACTAATACACAACTAATACACAACTAGTACACAACTAATACACAACTAGTACACAACTAATACACAACTAGTACACAACTAATACACAACTAGTACACAACTAATGCACAACTAGTACACAACTAATACACAACTAGTACACAACTAATACACAACTAATACACAGCTAATACACAACTAGTACACAACTAATACACAACTAGTACACAACTAATACACAACTAGTACACAACTAATGCACAACTAGTACACAACTAATACACAACTAGTACACAACTAATACACAACTAGTACACAACTAGTACACAACTAATACACAACTAGTACACAACTAATACACAACTAGTACACAACTAATACACAACTAATACACAACTAGTACACAACTAATACACAACTAGTACACAACTAATACACAACTAATACACAACGAATAAACAACTAATAAGATAAGATCAGAAGTACTTTATTGATTTCAACTGGGGAAATGTTTGTGTTGCAGCATAAAAAGATATGGCATTGTTCAATAGAGAAGTTAAAAGACTCCAGAATGTGAACATCTCAATAGAAATAAGATAGCATTACAATAAAGTAGAAAATGTACATGTTGAATTACAAATATAAAGTAACAAAATATAAAGCAGGATATTATATATACATAACTATTAGAGCAGCGGTTCCCAACCTTTCTTAAGTCCACTTAAGAATCTAAAAGATGTTCGCGGCCCTCATTCAACCATAAACAATACGGAGTACTTTTTATTTGAATTAGAAAAGGAGCTGGCCATCAGTAACAAACAGACATTTTTATTACACGGTTTAGTTGAATACTCGATTCTGATTGGTCGAATCAGACCATGTGACACGTTGTTAATCCAGTAGAACAAGGACTGTGATGACCATTGCTAAGGAGGATCGAGAAAGAAAAAGGAAAGGAGGTTCAAATAAAAAAAAAATCCTAATAATGAAATGTTTCCACCCATAATATTTTGCTAAATTATTTGGTGGCCCACTCGCAATGCCTTCGCGGACCACTAGGGGGCCGCGGCCCACAGGTTGGGAACCGCTGTATTAGAGGAATGAAATATTAAATATTAGATTGAAGATAAATGTAAAATGTACAGTTTAAGTACACAAATACAAACAATACAAACAGCTCATACTCAGAGACAGGAATACACAGAGGAGGAATCTGCCGTCCGTGTATTTGGTATTCAGTTAAACATAAACTCTGAGAAAAACCATAACCATTTACATGAAATATACATTTACTAAATACTCTGAGGAATGTGCAGTATTGATACAAAAAGTGGAAAGCTGTGCAGATATTAATAGAGGTTTATTATAAATAAAACTACAAATGATATGTCAAGAGTTATTCAAACAATAAACCAGAAGTAGGACTCTGAAAGAGAAATGTAAAAGAACTACACATTTATTTTCTCATTCATGATAAGTGGGGAAACAGCGCCCCCCTCCCGTCGACCTTCAGTTAGCGGCCACTGCCGGTATTACACCGTGTGTGTTGTTCAGCTCAGGCAACAGCACTGACCGCGCATGCGCAATGAGATGAATGGCCGATGCACCTGACGGCAAATTCCCGTCCGTTAATCTGCGCTCGTGAGACTTCGTGAGTCTTCGGGAGTTTCCGTGAGTCTTCGGGATGGAGATAGAAACTCTTTTAGACTCCAATATGATGAAATGCAGCTTGTTTTCGTGTCTACTTTCGTGCTCTGTGTGAATCTGGCCTGTTCCACTACTACTCTCGCTGTCTTTAGAGCCGCCCACCTTCCTTCTGTAACATAATGGTATAACCCTAGTCTGTCCTCGCCTGTGATTGGGCGCGCGGTGTGCCCGTCAACACTAAGTCCCGCCCCCCTGTCTGCATGGATGCGCTCTTCGGCTCTTCCCGGTCGCTACAGAGGAGAATCGGCTCTTTTTAGTTCGTGAGTCTTCGGGATTCTCCGTGGATCTCCGTGAGTCTCCGGTTCCACCCTGACTGCAATGGGATGCTGCGGTAGCGCGGAGGTAAGAACCGTTACCGGGACCCCTCCCTCCCGACCCAAAGCCCCGGTGCTCCTGCACGGAGAGCCGGTGTCTGGGTGTGTGTTTGCCCGGTGCAGAGCGGCAGCAGAGCGGATTAGAGAGAGGCGGTAATCCGGTCAGCTGCTGGAGGCCTGAGCTACCGGGAGATATAACATGTAGACCGTTAGAGAGGAGTGTGTGTGTGTGTGTGTGTGTGTGTGTGTGTGTGTGTGGGTGTGTGTGTGTGGTGTGTGTGGTGTGTGTGTGTGTGTGTGTGTGTGTGTGTGTGTGTGGTGTGTGTGTGTGTGTGTGTGTGTGTGTGTGTGTGTGTGTGTGTGTGTGTGTGTGTGTGTGTGTGTGTGTGTGTGTGTGTGTGTGTGTGTGATGACACTGAGCAGAGTGTGTGTGTGTGAGTGTTCCTGTGTTGTGTTCCTGTGTGTCACCCTTTCTCCCTGTGTGTGTGTGTGTGTGTGTGTGTGTGTGTGTGTGTGTGTGTGTGTGTGTGTGTGTGTGTGTGTGTGTGTGTGTGTGTGTGTGTGTGTGTGTGTGTGTGTGTGTGTGTGTGTGTGTGTGTGTGATGACACTGAGCAGGGTGTGTGTGTTTGTCCCAGTGTGTGTTTGTCCCAGTGTGTGTTCCAATGTGTATGTGTCTGTGTTTTGTATGTGTCCCTGTGAGTGTCCTGCTGCTGTGTGTATTTTTGTATGTGTATTTGTGTGACTGTGTGTGTGTATCCCTGTGTGTGTGTGTATGTTTGTATGTGTTTTTCTGTGTCTCTATATGTGTGTATCACAGTGTGTGTGTGTGTGTGTGAGACACTCTTTTGTTCCTGTAAGTAAATGTGTTTTGGACTCAGACCTGCAGGTCCACAGAAGATACAAATAATCATACATACAACTGTGTGTGTGTGTGTGCCTGTGTGTGTGTGTTCCAGAGGACAAAGAGAGAATGGAGACCTCTGGAGGACCGGAGCTGCACAGACCTGCCCTGGTTCCTGCTCTTCACCGTCTTCTGCGTCGGCATGGTAACGCTCACCTTTGTTTGTTTGTTTGTTTGTTTATAAATCATTTCAGTCCTGCTGAAGCGGGAAAACCTCTCAATCTTACGACACACACGATAAGTTGATCCTGCATCACCCTCTGACGTACACCAGACCCTCTAACGTACACCAGACCCTCTGACAACCCTCTGACGTTCATCAATCCCTCTGATGACCCTCTAACGTACACCAGACCCTCTGACGACCCTCTGACGTTCATCAGTCCCTCTGACGACCCTCTGACGTACACCAGACCCTCTGACGACCCTCTGACGTTCATCAGTCCCTCTGACGACCCTCTGACGTACACCAGACCCTATGACGACCCTCTGACGTACATTAGACCCTCTGACGTTCATCAGACCCTCTGATGTACATTAGACCCTCTGATGTACACCAGACCCTCTGACGTACATTAGACCTTCTGACGACCCTCTGACGTACATTAGACCTTCTGACGACCCTCTGACGTACATTAGACCCTCTGACAACTCTCTGACGTTCATCAGACCCTCTGACAACCCTCTGACATATACCAGACCCTCTGACAACCCTCTGACGTACATTAGACCCTCTGATGTACATTAGACCCTCTGACGTACATCCGACCCTCTGACGTACATTAGACCCTCTGACGTTCATCAGACCCTCTGACGACCCTCTGACGTACATTAGACCCTCTGACGTACATTAGACCCTCTGACGTACATTAGACCCTCTGACGACCCTCTGACGTTCATCAGACCCTCTGACAACCCTCTGACGTATACCAGACCCTCTGACGACCCTCTGACGTACATTAGACCCTCTGACGTACATTAGACCCCCTGATGTTCATCAGACCCTCTGACGTACATTAGACCCTCTGGCGACCCTCTGACGTACATTAGACCCTCTGACAACCCTTTGAAGTTCATCAGACCCTCTGACAACCCTCTGACGTACACCAGACCCTCTGACGACCCTCTGACGTACATTAGACCCTCTGATGTACACCAGACCCTCTGACGTACATTAGACTCTCTGACGTACACCAGACCCTCTGACGTTCACCTCACCCTCTGACGACCCTCTGACGTACACAGGGCTCGACAGTAACGGTTGCCAGGTTGCCATTGGCAACCATTCAGAAAAAATGTCAACCATTTCTTGGCCTTTGGTTGCCATCAGTGGCAACCAGTTTTTAACATAAAGAAATAAGGACAGCAAACAGCAAAATGTGCACCCCAAAAGAGATAAATGTTAATTATTTGTTGTATTAAGAGTGATATTTAATTATTTTTTGGAACCTGATACTTAAGTTGCACGTGCATTGGTGTGATTACGGAGCCAGAAAGCGATGCACGTTTACTCGCGTGCGTGGTGCGCCGTGTGTTTGTTTTACAACAAATGGCGAAGCAAATTAAGTTGTTTGACTGTGGGGTAAAAAGTTCGGCCAACCCGTCAACATCTCAAACGAATGTTCAAAGTGATTCAACTGATAAAGCGCAAGGTGAACCCGAACGAAAAGCAAAGAGGAAATGGGTAAAGTCTTGGGAGGCGAAATATATATGTGCATTCTGCTCCGTTCTCCATTCACTTCCGGTAAAAGTTCCTTCAAAATAAGAGTCCCGATCTTATTACTACCAAAATAAAAGTGCTAAACGAAACTTTACCATCGGAAAATATTGGCATAAAAATATAATCACTTCTATAAAAAGGTAACACATTTTAAATATAGTTAGACATATTAAAGGTAATTTACAGCATTAATAATTAATATCTAATTCTTAACTGTGAATGGTTTTCAATTATTTAACATTAGAAATGTATTAGTCTGGCCAATCCAAGACTTCAATGCTGAAGGGCCAGTGGATCTGTGGTGGGGGTCAGCACAAAGGTCAAGGAAACCCACATTTGAAAGGGAGACAACAGATGACCAAGAAACTAGTGACTTGCTCAATTCATTTGTGAGGGATCTGTGAAGAACAACAGCTGCACTACTGGTGTTTAGTATACCAGCAATTGAGGGTGGACAAGTTTCCTACCACTTAAGTTTCAAATAATTGTGTTAATTACTTATTGTAAAGCATTTGAACATTCTTTTGTGTCACATTTTCATTATTAAGTTGATGTATAACTGTATAGTATCTTAATTATTTAAAGGTCCCATGACATGCTTTTCCGGTTATTACCCGTCCCCTTGTGTTATGAAGGTTTTTCTGCATGTAAACGGTCTGCAGAGTCAAAAACCCTCAAAGTACACCCTGTAGGGAGTAAAACTCTAACACAGAAAATACCTCCCCAAAACGCCTCGTTGGAGATTTCTCATTTTCCAATGTTTTCTTCCTGGGTATCGTGACGTAGGGATACCCAGTAGCCACGCCCAGAGCTATGGCCGCACCCTCTGCCAGCCGAACATATATATACTGTTGGAAGCTCAGGTTCAGTTCAAAACTGTGTCCAGTCATGCCAACGAGGGTCTGTTTCCTGTCTTGTGAGGGGAAATCTTCAATGCATGCCTTACCGAGGGCAGAACCACGACGAAGTCAGTGGTTGACATTTCTTGTTAACACTGTTCCTTCAGATGTTCGAGCCGGTATTGTACTGTGTGCGCGGCATTTCACGGACCAAAGCTTCGCAAACATTGCAGCGATTCATGCCGGATATGCACAGCGTAGGACACTGAAGGACGATGCTGTTCCTACTTTGTTTGGACCAGCGGGAGATTCGGGTACACAACCTGTAAGTACGCATTGTTGTTTGTGTATTTATGATGTTTAAAACAAACAAGGTATCTACCACGACTGTTTAAATGGGTAAACGTTTTTGGGGCTGCTAAGCCATTGACACAGTGCTAACTGGACTAACTAAGTTGCTAGCGTTTCCATACATCAACTCCAATGTCAGCAGATGGCCTTACATGTATCTCATAGCAGGAGAATGTCTGCATTCACACACAAAATACTCATAGACAGTATACTCCGGGTGATTTACCGTACGGTCAGTCGCGAAACTTAATTACATTATAGTTGGCGTTCCTAGCGTGTATGCTACCGAGCTAAACAAGAAGGCTACCAAGAGCTAGACATGCTAGGGAAAACATTGTTTTTATGCCAGCTACAATGAATGACCGAACGTAGCAGACTACCCGTATAAGATTGCAATTGTAAACATGTTCTTGCTAGCCTAATATGAACCACTAGCTGTTGTTCATAGTAGGTTGGCATATTACACTGAACAACTAGCAAACGTAGGTTAGCATATTAATCTAGCTGGCAAGCTAACGAACCTAAAACAACTAAGATTCTCTAATATTTTGTGATTTGCATTTGATTTCGTCGAGCCAGATCAGGAAACTCCTGGCGTATCCGGCGGACAACACATGATGGGATGACCACTCTGATGCCTCGTTCTAAAAAGCCCCAGCACCAGCTTACAAAACTGCGATAGGCAAGATGCCGAAAACGCCTATAAGGGGAGGAATGGATGATATACAGTGTATATATGTATATTTACACATGTTCATTTTGTACATTTCTAAAAATAAAGTTTGATGGAAATACTTAGTATCCTTTCTTCCCTGAATTATTTGCTCCTATAACATATCATTCATATATAGCAAACCATGATTTGATTTTTCATCAAACACAGTAGTAGTTTATTACAGGTAAAAATAACGTACTCTTCTTCCGTTCTACGCCTCAAAGGTCTATAATCGAATCTTTACATGTTATGGAGGTTCTGCAGGGTGTGGGGTATGTATGGTGTATATCATATAATGTTGTGTGCTACTGCTGGTGTTTTCAGCTAGCTGGCTACATAATGTTGTAACTGTCAGCTAGGCTACCTTTCTAATTTCTTTGCAACAGACGTTTTCCACTTCGGTAGGCATCATGGCGCAGTTTCCACAAGTGCACCTAAATAACAACAGTTGTAGGTACAGTTCGGTTAGTTAGCTTATAACATATACGGCTGTACCGACGCCATTGTAAAACTGATGTTCCGCTCAGAGCCGACAAAAGCACTGTGTTAGACATGGGCGGAGCCTCTCTGGTGGTTGACTAATCAGAACAGAGTGGCCGAGCTGACCAATCGGAGCACACTGGGCTCACAGGGAGGGGGGGGGCAGGAGCTCCAACAAGCCGTTTAGGACAGAGAGTGAATACACATACTATACAGAGATGCTGTATGAGAAACCAATGTGAGTTTGGAAAATTGCACAATATAAATCTATTCTAGTAGACCTCAACAATGGAATTATGATCAGTGGAAATGGCCATGACATGGGCCCTTTAAAATATAAGGTGACTTAAAATGGCAACCGTATTTTCAGTTTTGGCAACCAAAAGCTGATGCCTGGTTGCCAGCCTGGCAACCACTTTTAAAAGTTAGCGTTGAGCCCTGGTACATTAGACCCTCTGACGTACACCAGACCCTCTGACGTACACCAGACCCTCTGACGACCCTCTGACGACCCTCTGACGACCCTCTGACGACCCTCTGACGTACACCAGACCCTCTGACGTACACCAGACCCTCTGACGACCCTCTGACGTACACCAGACCCTCTGACGTACACCAGACCCTCTGACGACCCTCTGACGTTCACCAGACCCTCTGACGTTCACCAGACCCTCTGACGTACACCAGACCCTCTGACGTACACCAGACCTGGGAGTTAGCTCTGGATTTAGTTGGAGGATTGACTTCAGTCTGGCTTTATTGAACCGTGGGAGCCTCTCCTCTGATTGGCTGGAGGTACAGACACCTCAAAGCTGGGTGAGGTCAGGAGGAACTGAACTTCAGATCTGAACTGGGATGCAGTTTATTTCACAGCTGGTCTGAACACAGCTGCATCTCCAGCTGTGGCTCAAAGGTTCCCCACATCCTCAGAGTCTCAGCAGGAAGGAAACGATGACCCCGTGCAGCCAGACCAGAGACAGCGCCTCAGATTCATTATCACACGGCTTATTTCAATACTACGATACGATAGGATAATACTTTAATGGTCAGATGAAGTCTGAAATGCTCCTTGCATCCCAGCAGCTCCATGTGTAACATCAACAGACAAACATCAAGACACATGAGAAACAAACAACAAACATGGAACATAACAGCAGGATCAGTGAGAGCTGCTCAAAGAGCCATCAGCGTGCATCTGATCTGTAGCTCTGTGTTCACTGAGAGGACAGACTGGAGCACAGAGGATGCTTCAGGCTGACTTTATTGATCTCCATCAGATGGTAGCAGTTCAGATTCTCTGTCAGAACATGCTTTGGGTCCCAGAGGATGCTGTTGGAGCCTCTCAGGTTATTATGGTCTGTGAGTCAGGAAGTCTCTGACAGGGTGACCAACAGTCTGTGAGCAGATTTTTAACATTTAATACTCCATTCTGATTGGTCATTTCGGACATTTCAGAGTTTGTTAATACTCAATAACACACAGCTGCTAAGCACAAGAAAGACTGTTGTTAAGGAGGACCAGGCGAGAAGGAAGGGGTTAAAAGCAGAGCGCTGGACGTATACAACTATGTGTTGTTGTGAGTAAACAGATTCATATGCTCAGCAGCTGCAGTGTAGAAATGACATTCTCCTGACCTGAGCTCCTCCCACAATGCAACATATAGAATAACATACAACAATACAAAATAGTGCAAGAAGTCTAGATAGATGTAAATAGAATATGATATGTACGAGAGCAGAATATGAAATTAAATAATGTAAATTAAGACAACATTAAATACGGTTTATTGCGGTGATAACTATTTATATAAAACAGACGTGTTGTTGTATTGTTGTGAGTAAACATGTTGTCCTCTCCTGCAGGGCAGCATCTGCGGCTTCACCATCGCCACCGGAGGCGCCGCTCGCCTCGTCTTCGGCTACGACAGCTACGGGAACACATGTGGTCAACGCAACGAGCCGATCGAGGGCGTGAGGCTGAGCGGCCTGGACCACAGCGACAGGAAGTACGTCCAACACTGTGTACTAGTACTGCAGTACTTTACATCAACTACTGCTGCTCAGGGGTCTGTTCAGGGGTCTGTTCAGGGGTCTGTTCAGGGGTCTGTTCAGGGGTCTGGATGAAGGTCTACCAGCCGACCCTACAGGAGAAACTGAGTTGATACGAGTAGTTTCAGGTTCTCCATGTGGGATGAAATGATCCACAGTTAGTCCAGGGTTCCAGCTATCATACTGAATACATATTTACTGTGAATGCATGCAAACATGTATGGCATTAATAATGTATATCTAATTACATTAACTGTGAATGTCTTTCATTTTATTTAAAATTAAATACAATTACATAAAAGATTTTCCATAAAAAAAGTTGATTCAAGAACAAATCTCTGTTATTAGATCAGTAATCACCTTTAGACATGTATTGTCTCAAATAGTTGTAAAATACAAAAGTCTTCATTCTGTCAGATGCAATGCAAATCGTGCATCCCTTTAAGTTTAAAACTCGCCTATGCGCAATGCGTATTGGTGAGCTGTCTACACGTCAAGTGTCCTATTTGGGTTGCCTTACGGAGTTGTCCAATATGGCGGACCATCTCGCACATCGGACAGATCGGGCAGGGATGCAGATCGGGTAGTGACAGTTGTTAATGCTCTTATTGTGGCGGTCTGACTTCCTGTGCCCTCAGGTGTGTGTTGTTGTAAAGGCTCTTATTGTGGCGGTCTGACTTCCTGTGCCCTCATGTGTGTGTTGTTGTAAAGGCTCTTATTGTGGCGGTCTGACTTCCTGTGCCCTCAGGTGTGTGTTGTTGTAAAGGCTCTTATTGTGGCGGTCTGACTTCCTGTTCCCTCAGGTTCGTGTTCTTCTTGGACCCGTGTAACATCGACATCGTTCAGAGGAAGATCCGCTCCCTGGCTCTCTGTGTGTCTCTGTGCCCCCCCGAGAAGATGGAGACCTACCAGGACCTGAAGAGGTTCGCCATGCTCAACGGTGAGGCCGCCGCCGGGGCTGATGGGAGATGTAGTCTGTGAGGGAAAGAGAGTCTAACTCAGGGAAAAGAGCAGCAACTTTAGCGTTCATTTTAAACACGAGCATTACTCTCTACATTTATCGGATCACCCTAAGTCACACAGAATAAGATTAGCTTGATGCTTCATATTTTGTTTTTGTACATTTGTATTTCCACATGCACATTTTTTACTTTTTCAATGCTATTTTATTCTTTATTCTATTTGAGACGTTCACATGTTGGATTGTTCATTTCTAGTCTTTTAATTTCTCTAATGTTCAATGCTTTGTTTTTATGCTGCGGCAACGCAAACATTTCACACATTGGGATCAACAAAGTACTTCTGATCTTATCTTATGAGAACAGAAAGATATATTCATTCATAATATTTGAATATATGATTGTATTTTATTATAATCGCGAGAGGAGCAGAAACACCGACTCATCAGCGCTGCACGTCATGCTGATGATGTCATGTCTGCAGACACAGTGTGACACAGCACCAGTGTACTGTACACACACACACACACACACACACACACACACACACACACACACACACACACACACACACACACACACAGTAACAAAGGCAGCATTAAGCGTGTGTGGTTGGTGCCACTCGTCTCCGCTGAGTTCACACATCTTAATGAAAGGAGTGTCTCACACACTGTTTCTGTTATTCTGTCCACCCTGAGGCTCTCCGGAGGAACACGTCTCCCTCCTCCTGTCACTCAAACACCCACTCTGCTGTCTGACAGGAAGCAGGGGAGCTAATGCTAATGCTAATGAAGCTAATGCTAACGGAGGTTCCATAGAGTTACATCGCGGTGCGTTCAGGCTCTGCTGTCAGAAACACAATCTGACAAGAAGTCAGCAGGGGAGCTAGCCAGTGCTAACAGAGCTAACTCTAATGGAGCTAACGCTAATTGAGCTAATGCTAATGGTTCCATAGAGTTACATCGTGGGGCGTTCAGGATCTGCTGTCAGAGACATCGTGGTGCGTTCAGGCTCATCCCTTCTCTCTGTGTTCTCTTTCAGGTTCTGAGTTGTGTTCCTATGAGTTAGCGGGTCATAAATATCCAGGTCTCCCTGAGAGGTTCTCCAGATGTCCCAAACTTCCTGTTCCACCCAGGTGAGTCCAAAACACTGACCTCTGACCTGCAGTAAGTAGGTGTTTGACCTCTGACCTCTGTTAGAAACATCTCCCTGGTCCCCGGCTTGAGCTTCAATCTCAGGATCCATGTATTTGTGATCCTCTCCAGAATGGAAGTAGTCATCACATACAGAGCATCAACTAGTTCCTGAACAGTGTCCTTCACATGCTGATATCCAAGAGAGGGAGTTACACAGTCACAAGATGGAGGAATAGAAAGCAGTATTCAATGTTTACTTCAGATTAGCTCCACGTCAGAAATGATCATGCTTGTCATATGTCTATCTCCATAGAGGCTGAATCATCATGTTAATCACATAGCTATCATATGCCTCAAACAGTCCTGGTGCTCTTCTAGGTAATCATACATCCTGTCATGTACACAGCTACAGTTGGGATACCTTTGTTACCATGTTACTCTCATGTTGGAAGAGTACTGTTTGACCTCTGACCTCTCCTTCAGTAAGCAGGTGTTTGACCTCTGACCTCTCCCCGCAGTAAGCCCCTCCCGGTGTTTAACCGCTGCACCCCGGTGGATATCTCCTGCTATGCTAAGTTCTCGGAGGCGGTGGTGACGTTCGTCGGGGATCACAGCGTTCTGCATCGTCTGATCGCAGGGGTCGCCGCCAGCAAAGAGATCATCATCGGGCTGTGTGTGCTGGCCCTGAGTGAGAGACACACACACTGAGATACTGTGACTAACATGTCTCTGACTCAAAGACCCTCAAAGGACCCTTAAAGGACCCTTAAAGGACCCTTAAAGGACCCTTAAAGGACCCCTATTAGACTCTTTATCACCAATATATAACAACGCCGCTGTGACAAATTTCCTATTTGGGTTGCCGTACGTAGCTGTCCAATATGGCAGACCAACTCGGGTGTTCAGAGATGCATTCAGGTACATCAGGTCTTCAGAGATGCATTCAGGTACATCAGGTGTTCAGAGATGCATTCAGGTACATCAGGTCGTCACAGAGATGCGTTCAGGTACATCAGGTGCTCCTCTAACCTGTCTCTCAGGTAGTCAGAGATGCGTTCAGGTACATCAGGTGCTCCTCTAACCTGTCCTCTCAGGTAGTCAGAGATGCGTTCAGGTACATCAGGTGCTCCTCTAACCTGTCCTCTCAGGTAGTCAGAGATGCGTTCAGGTACATCAGGTGCTCCTCTAACCTGTCTCTCAGGTAGTCAGAGATGCGTTCAGGTACATCAGGTGCTCCTCTAACCTGTCTCTCTGGTAGTCAGAGATGCGTTCAGGTACATCCGGTGCTCCTCTAACCTGTCCTCTCAGGTAGTCAGAGATGCGTTCAGGTACATCAGGTGCTCCTCTAACCTGTCCTCTCAGGTAGTCAGAGATGCGTTCAGGTACATCAGGTGCTCCTCTAACCTGTCCTCTCTGGTAGTCAGAGATGCGTTCAGGTACATCAGGTGCTCCTCTAACCTGTCCTCTCTGGTAGTCAGAGATGCGTTCAGGTACATCAGGTGCTCCTCTAACCTGTCCTCTCTGGTAGTCAGAGATGCGTTCAGGTGCATCAGGTGCTCCTCTAACCTGTCCTCTCTGGTAGTCAGAGATGCGTTCAGGTACATCAGGTGCTCCTCTAACCTGTCCTCTCTGGTAGTCAGAGATGCGTTCAGGTACATCAGGTGCTCCTCTAACCTGTCTCTCAGGTAGTCAGAGATGCGTTCAGGTACATCAAGTGCTCCTCTAACCTGTCTCTCAGGTAGTCAGAGATGCGTTCAGGTACATCAGGTGCTCCTCTAACCTGTCCTCTCAGGTAGTCAGAGATGCGTTCAGGTACATCAGGTGCTCCTCTAACCTGTCTCTCAGGTAGTCAGAGATGCGTTCAGGTACATCAGGTGCTCCTCTACCCTGTCTCTCAGGTAGTCAGAGATGCGTTCAGGTACATCAGGTGCTCCTCTAACCTGTCTCTCAGGTAGTCAGAGATGCGTTCAGGTACATCAGGTGCTCCTCTAACCTGTCCTCTCAGGTAGTCAGAGATGCGTTCAGGTACATCAGGTGCTCCTCTAACCTGTCTCTCAAGTAGTCAGAGATGCGTTCAGGTACATCGGGTGCTCCTCTAACCTGTCCTCTCTGGTAGTCAGAGATGCCTTCAGGTACATTGGGTGCTCCTCTAACCTGTCCTCTCAGGTAGTCAGAGATGCGTTCCGGTACATCTGATGCTCCTCTAACCTGTCCTCTCTGGTAGTCAGAGATGCGTTCAGGTGCATCAGGTGCTCCTCTAACCTGTCTCTCAGGTAGTCAGAGATGCGTTCAGGTACATCGGGTGCTCCTCTAACCTGTCTCTCATGTAGTCAGAGATGCGTTCAGGTACATCAGGTGCTCCTCTAACCTGTCCTCTCTGGTAGTCAGAGATGCGTTCAGGTACATCAGGTGCTCCTCTAACCTGTCCTCTCAGGTAGTCAGAGATGCGTTCAGGTACATCAGGTGCTCCTCTAACCTGTCTCACATGTAGTCAGAGATGCGTTCAGGTACATCGGGTGCTCCTCTAACCTGTCCTCTCTGGTAGTCAGAGATGCCTTCAGGTACATCAGGTAGTCAGAGATGCGTTCAGGTACCTCAGGTACTCCTCTAACCTGTCTCTCCTCCTCAGTCCTCTCCATGATCCTGATGCTCATCATCCGCTACATCTCTGCGCTGCTCGTCTGGATCCTCACCTCTCTGGTGGTGCTGGGGTCTCTGGGTGAGCTCACTTCCTGTCTGTATAACCCTCTGAGCTCACTTCTGAGCTCACTTCCTGTCTGTATAACCCTCTGAGCTCACTTCCTGTCTGTATAACCCTCTGAGCTCACTTCCTGTCTGTATAACCCTCTGAGCTCACTTCCTGTCTGTATAACCCTCTGAGCTCACTTCCTGTCTGTGTCTCAGCGGGGACCAGCGTCCTCTGGTGGCTCTACATCGATCACCGTCTCTATGGAAACGCCACCAGCAGTCGCCTGAGGGAGGAGCTTAGAGAGGAGGGGGCAGAACTTAGAGCGGAGGGGGCGGAGCTTAGGGACAGCGGGCAGGCGCTGCTCGTCTACGCCGCCGCCGCCACCGTCTTCACCGTGAGGAACTTTATTACCACACGTTTTAATATCTAACGTCTTTCTTTAAAGGTGTCCTATCATGCTAAATGCACTTTTTAGAAGTCTAAGTCCAACCCTTAAAGGACCCTTAAAGGACCGTTAAGGGACCCCTATTAGACTCTTTATCACCAATACATAACATGTCTCTGACTCAAAGACCCTTAAAGGTACATTCAGTGCATGAGAACGATGTTTTTGCTTGCCGTGTCTTGCCTTAACCTTAAATGATTCCCCAATAACTGTGTTGTTGTTGTTGTTGCTGTTGTTGTTGCTGCTGTCAGATCATCCTGCTGCTGCTCATGCTGTTCATGAGGAAGCGGGTGGCGCTCACCATCGCTCTGTTCCACGTGGCGGGGAAGGTGTTCCTGCACCTGCCGCTGCTCGCCCTGCAGCCGTGCCTCACCTTCCTGGCCCTGCTGCTCTTCTGGAGCTACTGGGTCCTGGTGCTGCTCTTCCTGGGCACCAGCGGTGAGATGTGCCCTCAAACACACACAACATCTGTTCTTTATTTAGTGATGGGAATTACGGCTCTTTGGAGGGAGCCGGATCTTATGGCTCCGTTCCTTTCCGAGAGCCGTTCAAAAGAGCCGTTCAAAAGAGCCGTTTTTTGTTTAAGTGGCGGTGGAGATTATTTGTTGACCCTGCTTTCAATGATATTCTGGCTTTACAAATGTTGCACTCCGCTTCATCATTTAGTGGGAATGCTGTTAACAGCATTCCCACTATCTGTTCTTCTACGCACAAAATTCTTTATTATTCCGCCGGAATTTTGCACCTCTTCTCCTCCCGCATTGAACATCGCAGAAACTCCGTTCAAACATCAAAACGTTCAGCTCGGTCGGGAATTGATGGCTATTACTTTTTTCATTCATAACTTTCATAATTCCAGAGATACATCCCATTATTCATCCCATTTTTTACATTTTAACTTTAACATTGCGCAGCTCGTTAACCTGTTAACCTGTTAAGCCCTGAGCCTGTTTTTCAGGTCTCAGGCTCGAAAAATTACATTCCCAGAACAAATGACCATATCTTCCCTTCTAAAAGGGTCAAATTAATAATCTTTTTTCTCAAAGTAATGATAAACCTGTGAGTTGGATGTAGAAAAGTCAGAATCAATATAGATGTTTTTTATTTTAAAGAAAATTCAGATTGAACATAGTAAAAAACTGTAAATTATAGTGTCCGTCCAAAAATTATTTTGTACTTATAGTGAAAACTACCCTTGGATGATGGTAAGGTAGACTAAAAGCTTTAGGAATCCAAAGTACAACATATAATAAGTACCCTGTATCAAGATTGATGTAAAACAAGTGACATTTGACCTTTTTATAGAGATTTAGCAAAAAGAAACCACTTCTGGGGTAATTTGGGTGGATTTTCCATATCTCTGGCCTCCCTTGCTCGATTTTGATGGTTGACACCTCTTTCTGACCGTTAGAGCCAATAGAATCGAAGGGGGAGTCCCCCACACACACTCATTGTGAAGAGAAAAGGTGAGGGCTTCGCGCATATAATTTTCCATCAGAGTGAACCTATCTCTAGCTTTGACATCTGGAAACGGAAAAGCAGTTTTAATGCTTATGGATTATCAGAAATAATTTCAAAGGGACACAGACACATTAGATTAACCCATGGATTAACTTCAGCAGCATTTTTATCGTTTTAATGCCATTGAAGACCACTTTGGAGAGACTACAGAGCCAAGGTAAACATTTTAGCATTTTTAGCTACCTAGCGTCACCTGTTTTGATGTCCGTTTTTGCTTATAACGTCGCAAATACATATAATTCAGTGGTAATGTGGGTGTCCAACGATTCTGTATCACCTCACGATGTGAAACGATGTCATGGATGTAGAGAAGAGATAAATAATAAGGTTTTGTGAGTGATTTTCGGTGCAGTAAGGTGTTAGCATTTTTCGCTCGTTTCTAATTCAGAGGCTCAGTGTTAGCATTGTGGGTTTTCTTTTGAAAAATAAATAAAAATGATCAGTTAGATGAGTTTCTTCCCGTTACATGGATACAAAACATTCATAGTTTATTAAATGAACAAGCCCTCAGACACTGTTTCCTGCAAGATGTTGCGGCAGTGCCCCGGTACCGGGGTCTCTCGGGCTTAACAGGTTAAGGCAGAGTGCGTGATGTCAGAGTTAGAGTGGAGGAAATCTTGAAATTTGCCTTCATATTTTTTTTTAAAACTGCCATAATTCCCAAACCCTACATTCCTGAGACATAATCTTTCATGACAAATGTAGGAAAACATCTCGTAGCTTGAAAAATGACAAATAATGAAGCAAAAATAATTCAACAAAATGCCTCTTGAGGGCATGAAGTGACAAAAACTTTCAACATGCCTCCATTAAAACCCATTGTAATTTCAGGCTGATATTTCCTCACAGCAGCAGCCACACACCTTTAGTTAAACTGCCAAAAAGGCCACATTATTAACCCGAAAGTACACAAAAATTACACTTCAGATACTCAACTTCCTTGACATGCTTCACGTTTTGAAATTTCACAGACATCTGTTACGGTTCTTCCACAAAACGTTCACATGTAAGAGGTTTATCTCTCATTCAGAACAATGGAAACCTTTGATCTCTGGACACCTCGTTAGCTCAAATATAAACACCTGTGTAATCGAACACGATGATGTCATCACTCCAACTGACATGCTCAGAGCAGCAGACTTCAGATAAAGGATAATGGTCCTGCCCTCAACAGCTCTACGTCAATGATGGGGTGTCATCATATGCCGAAGATCAAGAGAAGAGAGAGAGAAGAGAGAGGGCGATCAAGAGAAGAGAAAGAGTAATGTAACCTCCTAATGTAATGTATAACTCCTATGAAAATGTTCAAAAAGTGCTCAAACTTCACATGTGTGCTAACAGTCCAGCCGTGAAGACATCTACGGGACAGTTTTGAGATTTCTTCAAATGCCGTTGCCATGGCAACACAATGCTCGCCTTGAAACACGGTTTTCTCATAACTTCAGTGAAAATACTCCAAACAGCCCAAAACTTCACAGGTTTGGTAACGATGCAGCCATCAACGCATCTAAGCGTATTATGGGGTGTCATCAAATGCCGTTGCCATGGCGACAGACAACTCGCCATGAAACACGATGTCGCTGTAAGTCCAATCGACACGGTCCAATCGTCCCCCAATCTTCACTTCTATATCACCGGTCCATGCCTCAACAGCCCTACGCCAAATCTGAGATCTCACCATATGTCGTTTCCATGGAAACGCATCCCTCGCCATAAAACACGATGTCGCTATAACTCCTATGAAAATGTTCAAAAAGTGCTCAAACTTCACGTGTGCTAACAGTCCAGCCATGACGACATCTAAGTGAGAGTTTTGAGATTTCTTCAAATGCAGTTGCCATGGTAACACAAGGCTCGCCATGAAACACGGTTTTCTCATAACTTCAGTGAAAATGCTCCAAACGGCCCAAAACTTCACAGGTTTGGTAACGATGCAGCCATCAACATATCTAAGCGTATTATGGGGTGTCATCAAATACCGTTGCCATGGCGACAGATCATTCACCATCAAGTTAGTTCAATAGTTTGCAGTTCAAATATTCTGCTGCTTTTCCAAGCCTTTTTACTTTCTTTTCTTCTCTCATCACACATTCAAGCCCCCAGTGTTCATGTATCATTTCAATCTAAATTATTCACTTTCTTCTTACACATTACATTTCAGCATAGCAATTCAGCGTCAGCTTTTGAGCATAAAGCATTCCCACTAGCAATTTCTTCAGGAATTGCATTCTCTAGTTGCCTATATTTTTGCTGAAGTGCATCCAAATGCTGCTGCATTTTCACGTAGGGTTCATTTTTTCACCCTAAGTGTGCATCCCCCAGAGCATTGTGGGAACTGTAGTGTGTATCCCCCAGAGCATTGTGGGAACTGTAGTGTGGTGTGGATCCCCCAGAGCATTGTGGGAACTGTAGTGTGGTGTGGATCCCCCAGAGCATTGTGGGAACTGTAATGTGGATCCCCCAGAGCATTGTGGGAACTGTAGTGTAGTGTGGATCCCCCAGAGCATTGTGGGAACTGTAGTGTAGTGTGGATCCCCCAGAGCATTGTGGGAACTGTAGTGTGTATCCCCCTGAGCATTGTGGGAACTGTAGTGTGACTGTAGGTGTGTGTTGCAGGTAACCCTGAGCAGAACGAGGACACCACGCTGACAGAGTTCCGGCTCACGGGCCCTCTGCAGTACCTCACCTGGTACCACGCTGTGGGCCTGGTCTGGATCACAGAGTTCATCCTCGCCTGCCAGCAGATGACTGTGGCCGGAGCCGTCGTCACCTACTACTTCACCAGGTGAGTCTAAACTCCACCAGGTTAGTCTGTACTTCACCAGGTGAGTCTTAACTCCACCAGGTGAGTCTAAACTCCACCAGGTTAGTCTGTACTCCACCAGGTTAGTCTGTACTCCACCAGGTTAGTCTGTACTCCACCAGGTGAGTCTTAACTCCACCAGGTGAGTCTAAACTCCACCAGGTTAGTCTGTACTCCACCAGGTGAGTCTTAACTCCACCAGGTGAGTCTTAACTCCACCAGGTGAGTCTGTACTTCACAGTCTAGACTTTTGAGAAAAAGTCAGACTTCACACATTCTCCTAAAAAAATTATAATTGCCCAAAAATCTGAATTCACACATTTTCTCAGAAAAATCTGAATTTTCAGTCAAACAGCTTCAAATTTCAATGTTTCTGAAAGAAAGTTAGAATTTTGAGAGAAAGGTTCAGGTGACGTGGTTAATGTTGACTCTGTTTTCAGGGATAAGAACCGCCTCCCGGTGGCGCCCATCCTGTCGTCGGTCCTCCGGTTGGTCCGGTATCACCTGGGGACCGTCGCTAAGGGAGCCTTCATCATCACGCTGGTGAAGATCCCCCGCCTCTTCCTCATGTACATCCACAACCAGCTGAGAGGAAAGGTACAACTTTATTAACAACCAGCTCAAACACAACGTACACAACTTTATTAACAACCAGCACAAACACAACGTACACAACTTTATTAACAACCAGCACAAACACAACGTACACAACTTTATTAACAACCAGCACAAACACAACGGTACGAGAGCCAGTCCTTCTGTCAGATCTGATTTCTGATACCATATATTAGGTTATTGTGTAATGTTGTGTTGTTTTGTGTGTCAGGAGAATGCGTGTGCGCGCTGCCTGCTGAAAACCTGTATCTGCTGTCTGTGGTGTCTAGAGAAGTGCCTCAACTATCTCAATCAGGTAAACGCACACCTGCACACCTCTTCTTCTCCTTCTTCTTCCTCCCTGTTTTTATTGTGACATCCATCTGTGCCTTCATTACCCAGAATGCATATGCAGCCACAGCCATCAACAGCACCAGTTTCTGCACGTCTGCGCGCGACGCCTTCGTGATCCTGGTGGAGAACGCGCTGCGCGTCGCAACAATCAACGCCATCGGAGACTTCGTGCTCTTCCTGGGGAAGGTGAGAGGAATCTGACGTTTCTAACATTAAGAGGTGCAGGAATGAGTCTTTAGCTTCCTTTATAGCCCCTCATTAGCCTCCTTTAGCTTAGCGGTGGTGACGTGAAGTCATGTGACCGTGCTGTAGTTCCTTTATAGCCCAACATTAGCCTCCTTTAGCTTAGCGGTGGTGACGTGAAGTCATGTGACCGTGCTGTAGTTCCTTTATAGCCCAACATTAGCCTCCTTTAGCTTAGCGGTGGTGACGTGAAGTCATGTGACCGTGCTGTAGTTCCTCTATAGCCCAACATTAGCCTCCTTTAGCTTAGCGGTGGTGACGTGAAGTCATGTGACCATGCTGTAGTTCCTTTATAGCGCAACATTAGCCACCTTTAGCTTAGCGGTGGTGACGTGAAGTCATGTGACCGTGCTGTAGTTCCTTTATAGCCCAACATTAGCCTCCTTTAGCTTAGCGGTGGTGACGTGAAGTCATGTGACCGTGCTGTAGTTCCTTTATAGCCCAACATAAGCCTCCTTTAGCTTAGCGGTGGTGACGTGAAGTCATGTGACCGTGCTGTAGTTCCTTTATAGCCCAACATTAGCCTCCTTTAGCTTAGCGGTGGTGACGTGAAGTCATGTGACCATGCTGTAGTTCCTTTATAGCGCAACATTAGCCACCTTTAGTTTAGCAGTGGTGACGTGAAGTCATGTGACCATGCTGTAGTTCCTTTATAGCGCAACATTAGCCACCTTTAGCTTAGTGGTGGTGACGTGAAGTCATGTGACCGTGCTGTAGTTCCTTTATAGCCTAACATTAGCCACCTTTAGCTTAGCGGTGGTGACGTGAAGTCATGTGACCGTGCTGTAGTTCCTCTATAGCCCAACATTAGCCTCCTTTAGCTTAGCGGTGGTGACGTGAAGTCATGTGACCATGCTGTAGTTCCTTTATAGCGCAACATTAGCCACCTTTAGCTTAGCGGTGGTGACGTGAAGTCATGTGACCATGCTGTAGTTCCTTTATAGCGCAACATTAGCCACCTTTAGCTTAGCGGTGGTGACGTGAATTCATGTGACCGTGCTGTAGTTCCTTTATTTGCCCAACATTAGCCACCTTTAGCTTAGCGGTGGTGACGTGAAGTCATGTGACCGTGCTGTAGTTCCTTTATAGCCCAACATTAGCCTCCTTTAGCTTAGCGGTGGTGACGTGAAGTCATGTGACCGTGCTGTAGTTCCTTTATAGCCCAACATTAGCCTCCTTTAGCTTAGCGGTGGTGACGTGAAGTCATGTGACCATGCTGTAGTTCCTTTATAGCGCAACATTAGCCACCTTTAGCTTAGCGGTGGTGACGTGAAGTCATGTGGCCATGCTGTAGTTCCTTTATAGCGCAACATTAGCCACCTTTAGCTTAGCGGTGGTGACGTGAAGTCATGTGACCGTGCTGTAGTTCCTTTATAGCGCAACATTAGCCACCTTTAGCTTAGCCCAACAGAAACACCTGCAGCTCTGTGTGCTACCTTCTAACTGACCCCCCCCCCCCCCAGGTGCTGATCGTCACCTGCACGGCGTTCTGCGGCGTCCTGCTGCTGAACGCTCAGCGGAGTTACGCCGAGTGGCTGCTGCCGCTCGTCATCGTGTGTCTCTTCTCCTTCCTGGTGGCGCACTGCTTCCTGTCGGTGTTTGAGATCGTGGTTGACGTCCTGTTCCTCTGCTTCGCCATCGACACCAAGTACAACGACGGCACGCCGGGCCGCGAGTTCTTCATGGACAAGGCTCTGATGGTGAGGAACCCCCCCCTAAAGGGGGTTACCATGGATACCATTTGTTTTTCTGATTGGTTATTATTTTACTCCATAAACGTTATAGGGTTAGTTATTTGTACCTTTTTAATATTTTTAGTTGGTTCATCCTTTTGAGATCTGCATTATAGTAATCTGTGACATTAGCTCCATTTTAATCTTTTAATCTTTTATTTAATGGGTTTGAAACCATTGGTTATAGTTCTATTTCGTCCCTACTGACCGCCAGAGGCGGTGCTTTTAGCACTGGATATGTCCATCGTGCGCATGCGCAGTACGAGTACCAATATCAACAAAGTCACCTGTGACCCACGTGACACCGGCTATATCAGCCCGTGTCATCAGAGGATCTGTTCCTTTCATCTTCTCGCTGCGCGAGAGTACCGTGGCTACACTATTGTAGCCTACAGCGTTCAGTTGGAACGTTTGGATTTAAGGATTTCTCTGCATCCAGCTGGCTGCGTGTAGCTTCGTGACTGATCCAGTCGGAGCCGCGGGATTACCCGTCCTCCAGGAGCTGCGGCCGGCTGCGCAGAAAACTTCAACGGACAGGTTGGTGTCGGCTTGGTCGGTGACGGCAGTGTTTCCACTCCCTCTCCCAGCTAGGTTGTCCTGATTTCTGTCTTGGTTGCTACCTGGCTTGAACTTTCTGGTGACGGTAGCGTTTCCGCCCCCTCTCCCAGGAGTTGCCCTTGTTGCGTTCTCTGTACTTTTCTGATAGCGCGGCGTTGCGCCAAGCTATCATTAGCATCCTGAGTTCCAGCTTGTGTTGTGTCCTCTTGTTTAGCTAGTTAGCAGTAGCGCGGCTCAGCCTAACTGTGTCCTGCCTGGTCAGCCACTTTGGCTGACGCTTGAGGTAAGCACCGGATTACCCGTGCTGGTTTTTCTTTAGAAGCAGTTTCCTTAGCTTGTTTCGCTATTTTACTCAACCAGTGAAGGCAGTGTTTTCACCCCCGCTCCTGGTAAGAGTGTTCCTTGACTGTGAGCAGCAGCCGGCTGGCTAGCTGCCCTGTTAAGCTTCCTTATTTGGTAGCTCTGTGCTTCGTTTACTTAGCTAGGTGAAGGCAGTGCTCTCGCTCCCCGCTCCCTCTGCTAGTAGCTTCGCGCTTTCGTTTACTCAGCTAGGTGAAGGCAGTGCTCTCGCTCCCCGCTCCCTCTGCTGGTAGCTCCGTGCTTCGTTTACTCAGCTAGGTGAAGGCAGTGCTCTCGCTCCCCGCTCCCTCTGCTAGTAGCTTTGCACTTTCATTTACTTAGCTAGGTGAAGGCAGTGCTCTCGCTCCCCGCTCCCTCTGCTAAGTAACGCGGGTGTACCCCATTACACCCCTCTCGTGTTCGGCGAGTAGGAGCAGGGCTCTACTCCTTCCGTTCAGCAGGTAACTGGTGAAGGCTGTGTTCTCGCACCCCGCTCCCGGTTACGCTGCATCCGGCTACCTACATGATGGCTCATCCATGTAGCGCCTGTATGGCTTCTCTCGAGCCCGAGGATGGCCACGACCGCTGCCCCTCTTGCCTTGGTCTCGAGCATTTGAGGGAGGGTCTCACGCAGGACGCCTGCATGAACTGTAGCTGCATGCCTTGGGCGCTTAGAGCGGCCAGAGTCGCAGAGGTGGAGCGTCTGGCAGAAGCCAACGGACACCTCTCCTTGTCGCATCTTCCCCTAGGTCAGTTTGGCCGTTCCCGGCGACCCGAGGGAGCGATGGCTACGGGTTCGCCCCCCAACAGGCTGTCCTCTAAGGTGGATCGGTTAGCCGCCGACATGGACATGATGAAGTCGCTCCTCTTAGCCCTTCAACCAGGGGCCGGTATAGGGGCTGCTGGCTTGCCGCCTGCCCCTCCTTCGGTTGCCGCACCTCTGCATGAGGATGCCATGTCACTAGCGGCCTCGGCTAACCTCTTCAACGAAGAGGTGGAGGACGAGGCCCCGCTCACTTCTGGGGAGGCTTCCCACTCCTCTGCTCAGGGCTCTCTGCAGGGCGTGGAGGACGCCTCCATGGCGGCCATTATTCGTGCGGCCCTGGCACACTTGCAGCTTCCTGTTCCGCAGGCCGACGCGGCTCAGGCTAGCGCCTTCTTCAGGCGTAGCCCTACCCCTGTCCCCCTCACTGTTCCTCCTTCGGAGGAGTACCTGAGGGAGCTCCATGCATGCTGGAGAGACACTAAGGCCCTCTCCCGCTTCAGCTCTGATAGCCGGACCCTGGCTGCCATGCAGGATCCGGCGAGGGTGGGGCTGGGTCGCATGCCACCCATCGAGCCTGCCATCGCCTCCCTGATTCTGGCTCCTGATGAGGCCCTAAGGCCTGACGCCAGGTGCCCTCTGCCTCAGTGCAGGGTCACTGACGAACTGCTCTGTAAGGCCTACGACGCAGCGGCACGCATGGGTCGTATCGGGAACTCTCTCTCCCATCTAATGCTGGCCGCCTCCGCCTCTCTGCAGCAGGCTCCGGCTGAGCCTTCTTTGCTGGGCCTCAGTGACTCTTCACTGCAGGCCTTTGCCCTAATGACTAGGGAATTGGGACGAGTTATCTCCCTACTGGTGCAGACTCGACGCCAGGTTTGGCTGGCTCAGTCACCACTAACGGAGACATGTAGGAGTGTCCTCCGCGGCGTGCCGGTCGAACCAGGGGAGCTGTTTGGAGCAGCTGCCCTGGCGGCACTAGAGCGTGCTGCCCAAGCTAGACAGACCAGGCAGCAGCTCTCGGGTCTACGTAGGCCTGTGCCTACTCCCAGCAGGCCCAGGGGCCCCTCTAGCAGCCGCACTCTGCCACTGGCTTTCAGTGGTGGTCTGCGGAGGTCCCAGCGGTCTACTCAACCGCCTCCTAATGACTTTCGTGCCCCCGGTCGCCAGCCCTCTAGGCAGCCCCGGGCCCCACAGCCTTACCGCCGCCCCCCAAGGGGTCGGGGGGCTAGGCCCTGAAGTCCCTGGGCCAGTCGTCGGCTGCTTTTCCCAGCAGCAGCTCAGCTACTGGGCTGCCTGTACTACTGACCCTTGGGTGGTTTCCACCCTAACCCAGGGATACGAATTGCAGTTTCGACGCCGGCCCCTAGCCTTCGGCCGGGTCAAGATGACAGTTGTCAGCGACCCGGCGAAGGCCTTAGCTCTGGCCCAAGAGCTGTCCGTCCTCTTGGCCAAGGGCGCAATCGAGCCAGTGGACCCCCTGCTTCAGTCCGGGGGGTTCTACTCTGCGTACTTTCTGGTGAGCAAGAAAGTCGGCGGATTTCGTCCAGTACTGGACCTCAGAGGAATCAACAGATTCCTGAGGGTGCTGCCCTTCCACATGCTGACCACAGCAGACACCCTCCGTGTTGTCACACAGGGGGAGTGGTTCACAACCGTGGACTTAAGGGACGCCTACTTCCACGTGCCGATTGCGGCCCACCACCGGAAGTTCCTGAGGTTTGCCTTTCAGGACCAGCATTATCAGTTCCGGGTGCTTCCCTTCGGTCTCTCCCTCTCTCCAAGGGTGTTTACCAGGGTCGTGGCGGCAGCTCTCGCACCCCTGCAGGCACAGGGCATGAAGGTCCTGCCGTACCTAGACGACTGGCTGGTTTGTGCGCCGTCCCGGTCCCAAGTGGCCCAGGATACGGCGCGCCTCTTATGTCACGTAGCCCGGTTGGGCCTGACAGTAAACACCGGGAAGAGCTGCCTGGTCCCCTCCCAACGGGTCACTTACCTGGGGTTGGTCCTAGACTCGGTCGCCATGAGGGCTTGCCTAACACCTAGTCGTGTGGACGACATTTCCCACCTTCTCCCCCTCTTCAGGCTGGGCAAGAATGTGCCTTACATTCAGTTCCTCCGGCTCTTGGGCAGACTGACGGCTGCCTCAGCCGTTGTGCCCTTAGGTCTGCTGTCGCTGCGCCCTATGCAGATATGGCTGAACAGCCTTCACTTGGACGCCAAGTGGCACAGGCACAGGAGGGTCAGGGTGTCGCGCCAGTGCCTTCACTCTCTGTCACGCTGGAGAAACAGGGCCTATCTTCTGATGGGAGCGCCCATGGGCGCCATCCCATCCCGCCGGGATACTGTCACTGTAGATGCATGTCTCTCAGGGTGGGGTGCTGTGTGGCAGGGCAGGACTGTTCAGGGTCTGTGGTCCGCCCAGGAAGGTGCATATCACATCAACGTGCTAGAGCTTCGCGCTGTGCTGCTTGCGCTCAGGCACTTTTTACCCCAACTGACGGACAGGCATGTGCTTGTTCGTTCGGACAACATGTCCGCGGTTTCCCAGATCAACCACCAGGGGGGCACCAGGTCCGCACAGCTGCTCCGGGTTTCACAGAGCCTCTTGTCTTGGGCGTCTCCCCGCTTGGCCAGCCTGCGGGCAGTCTTTCTACCAGGGGACCAAAATCAGGTGGCAGATTTCCTCTCTCGGCACAAACCTCCACCAGGGGAGTGGAGGCTTCACCCAGAAGTGGTGGAGACAATCTGGAGCCTTTTCGGCAGGGCCGAGGTGGACCTCTTTGCCTCGGAGGAGCCGAGGCACTGCCCCCTCTGGTTCTCCTGGGCAGAGGTGACCAGCCCAATGGGGCAGGATGCTCTGGCACACGACTGGCCAGACAGTCTCCTGTACGCCTTCCCGCCGCAGCCGCTGTTATTACAGACGCTTCAGAGGGTCCTTACTCAGGGGCACAGGCTCCTTCTGGTCGCCCCCCGCTGGCCGGGGAGAGTTTGGTTCCCGCTGCTACGCAGTCTCTGCTGCGGCCCACCATGGCGCCTCCCCGACAGGAAGGACCTTCTGTCACAGCTCAGGGGTCAGATCTGGCATCCCGACCCTCACCGCCTCCAGCTCTGGGCTTGGCCTCTGCAGGGCCCAACCCACTGTTGAGCGCTTTTTCGGCATCGGTCAGGGAAACTATCCTGAATGCCAGAGCACCATCCACTCGAGCACAGTACGAGTGCAAATGGAAGCTCTTCTCCCACTGGTGTTTGGGTAAGGCTGAGAATCCGGGGCATTGCTCTGTGGCCACCATTCTGGAGTTCCTGCAGTCCCTTCTGGATAGTGGACGTTCTCACTCCACTTTGAAGGTATATACGGCTGCTATCTCTGCCCAACATGTCGAGGTCGACGGCGCCACGGTGGGGCGCCACAGGTCGGTGTCCCTCTTCCTGAGGGGGGCCTTACGGCATCGTCCCCCTAGTACCCCGAGGACTCCGGCTTGGGACCTGCCCCTAGTGCTAGATGCCCTATCATCTCCTCCCTTCGAGCCCCTGGCCCATGTAGGGCTTAAGTGGCTGTCCTTAAAGGCAGCTTTTCTGCTTGCCATAACCTCAGGGAAGCGAGTTGGGGAGTTGCATGCCCTCTCCGTGAGCGATACATGCCTGAGGTGGAACTCCGATGGCTCGGGTGTTGCCCTCTGGCCGAATGTGGCGTTCCTGCCCAAGGTGCTTCCACTTGCCCACTCCAATCGGCCCATCCAGCTGGCACGCTTTAACGTCCCACAGGAGAGCCGCACGCCCGAGTTGCTGTGCCCTGTGCGTGCCCTGAGAGCGTATGTCGATGCTACGGCCTGTGTACGGCAGTCAGAGCAGCTCTTCGTTTGCCATGGCGGCATTAGGAAGGGTTGTGCTCTCTCCAAGCAGCGGCTGTCCCACTGGGTTGTCGATACAATCGCACATGCCTATGGGGCCAGTGGCCGCCCCCTGCCATCAGGGGTGAGATGCCACTCTACAAGGAGCGTCTCAACGTCTTGGGCCGCCCTGAGAGGAGTGCCCCTGGAGACCATCTGCGCCGCGGCGTCTTGGGCGTCTTCCGGCACATTCTCCAGGTTCTACCGGGTCAATGTCGCCACTCCCCATCCTTTGGGCGTGGTCCTGTTGCCAAGCTCCGCTGCTTCCAGCTAGGTGAGTATTTGGTTTCTTCATGACATGGTTGGTATAAGTCATCCAGTGCTAAAAGCACCGCCTCTGGCGGTCAGTAGGATGACCGCCAGAGTTTCCTGTCACTCAGAATTCTTGTGTGCTCGCGAGAAGATTCTGGGAACAGATCCTCTGATGACACGGGCTGATATAGCCGGTGTCACGTGGGTCACAGGTGACTTTGTTGATATTGGTACTCGTACTGCGCATGCGCACGATGGACATATCCAGTGCTAAAAGCACCGCCTCTGGCGGTCATCCGGGACTCATAGAACCGTAGTTACAGACGTAACTATCGATCTCGGCTCTTGGAAAGTGTTTTTCATTTTATTATACTCAAAACTGTTCATTTATTCATAATAATCAATCCTTTAAAATACATATATGGCCGGATTAATTAATATCAATGATCATTAAAATCATTGATGGAAATAAATGGTTCTTTCAATTTAAACTCCTACTTTTCCAAGGCAAGCACCTGTTGCTGTGGTTTGTGTTTGCGCTGGTTAGAGTTAAGTGGCAATGTGGCAGGAAGTAGAAACACTGATAAAAGACCTAAACGTGGTGCAAATCAATAATATATAGTTATTGTCGAGGCTGATTATCTGACTTCAAGAGTCCAAAGAGCTCTAATGGAGACCATGCAGCCCCGGGTACGTCTTCAGGGTTTTATTCAGGTCAGTTCTATAGATCTGTTGGCGGTCCAGTACCGACTAAAACCCTTTTAACTGGATATGATAAATAAACACTATTACTATGAGGCGTGCGGACGCATGTCGACTTCCAGAGTCTCGCTGGCGTAGCGTCTCTGACTCTCTTCGAGGCACTAGAGTCCGCTTTACGGCACAAAGTCAGTAACCATAATAAACATCTCTGCACAGTCCAGAAACATACAACACCATACAGAATTGATTATTACTCATTCACATACATTTTGAGAAAAAAGTCGGAATTTTTTGAAAAAGTCAGAATTCACATATTTTCGGAATTTTTGGAAAAAGGAAATTAAATTCAAGCGATATACTGCCAACGTTTACCATAGATATGAACCAGCTGAACGCTCCTACAGTTATTTAATAACCGTGGAGACGCTTTACTGACGGCTCTCTTCCCCTCCAGGAGTTCGTGGAGAGCAGCCGGCGGTTGGAGCGAGTGGCTAAAAGTGGGCGGAGCCGCGTGAAGGAGGCGGTGTCGGGGGGGGCGGAGATGAAGCCCATGGTGAGTGACAGCCCGTCAGAGGAGGAGGAGGAGGGGGAGGAGGGGGAGGGGGGGGAGTGGGAGGAGCTACAGGAGGTCCAGGTGTATTACCTGCTGCTGGGGGTGCTGCTGGATTGGCTGCTGACGGAGCGCAGCCACTTCCTGTATTGCCTCAGCGAGGACGTCCTGCTGTTCCTCTCTGTCTACCTGCCCACCTCCAGCCTCTTCCTATTGGCCAGCCTACTGCTCGCCCCGCCCCCTCACCAAGGCAGCCACGCCGCGAGCTAACAACCGCTAACAACGGCTAAGACACACGTGCTAACTAATGCATGCTAAGGGACACATGCTAACAATGCATGCTAAGGGCCACGTGCTAACAGATACATCCTAACTAATGCATGCTAAGGGACACATGCTAACTATGCATGCTAATGGACGCGTGCTAAAGGATATGTGCTAACAATTGCATGCTAATGGACGCGTGCTAAAGGATATGTGCTAACAATTGCATGCCAAGGGACACGTGCTAATTAATGCATGCTAAGGGACACGTGCTAACCATGCATGCTAAGGGACAGATGCTATCGGACGTGTGCAAACAATTGCATGCTAAGGAACGTGTGCTAACAATACACACTAAGGGGCACATGCTAACGGACACATCCTAACTAATGCATGCTATGGGACACATGGTAACAATGCATGCTAATGGTACGTGCTAACGGATATGTGCTAACAATTGCACACTAAGGGACACATGCTAACGGACACATCCTAACTAATGCATGCTAAGGGACACATGCTAACAATGCAAGCTAAGGGACACGTGCTAACTATGCACGCTAAGGGAACGTGCTAACAGAAGTGTGCTAACAGATGCATGCTAACTGACTCACTCCCTTCATCATCATCATCATCACCTTCATCTTCACCTGGGACCAGACTCTTCATTGACTTTATGTTTATTTGTAATATTTTTTTTACCTTTGTTTTTATAGGTTTTATAATGTTCCAAGTTATTTGTTTATTTTTCTGTTCTGCCTTATTGTTATTGTTATTGTTATTGTTTTTCACCGCGGTGCTTTAAAAGAAGTTCTAAGGATCAGACGGTGACGCCGTGTTCCTTTAACTCGAGAAGAAGACTTCTCTCCGGTTACACCGTTTTTACACCTAAATAACACCATAATTACACCACAATTACACCATAATTACACCAATATTACACCAATATTACACCATAATTACACCATAATTACACCAATATTACACCAATATTACACCATAATTACACCATAATTACACCCATAGTACACCATAATTACACCATAATTACACCAATATTACACCATAATTACACCAATATTACACCAATATTTACACCATAATTACACCATAATTACACCATAATTACACCAATATTACACCATAATTACACCATAATTACACCATAATTACACCCATATTACACCATAATTACACCCATATTACACCATAATTACACCATAATTACACCCATAGTACACCATAATTACACCATAATTACACCCATAGTACACCATAATTACACCATAATTACACCCATAGTACACCATAATTACACCAATATTACACCAATATTACACCATAATTACACCAATATTACACCATAAACACCATATTACACCATAATTACACCCATATTACACCATAATTACACC